TACCATAGACCAAGTAACTTAACATCTCCCATCTCTCAACTTTGGTTAACTATTTGTTATATTTTACTAATTTTTATGTGTTGTTTTCCCTTGATGTCTAGACTTCTTTTATAGAGGAAAAATTAGGGAAGTTCCTTAGCAATCAAGAAAATGCAATAAGGTTTCTTCTTTAACAATTTAATTTTTGTAATTTAATAATGATCCAACATCGACCAAGATACTTGAAAATAAACTTTATTGAATGCATCCGATAATGTTGTCATTGTTTGTATTTTATGTTGTTGACATTATCACAAAACTTTTGAGAGTATAAAATTATTAAAAGAATATCAGATAAAATTTAGAGATCTAGTTTATTGAGTTTCATATTTGAATTAGGGATAGTTGTTTGGATTTGAAAAAATGTGCATCGAACTTTGAATCAGATTAATTTAGTCTGATTTGATTCTTTTATCCAATTTTATTTGATGTTCTTAAAACATTTTTTGATGCAAATAAAAAATAAAATATGAACCAAATTAAAGCATAAATACTTAAAAACTTAAAGTCATGTTTTAGTTTTTGATCTTTCGCTAACCAAATCAAAGCATAACTACTTAAAAACTTAAAGTCATGTTAAGTCTTTGATTTTTCGCTATCTATGTTCATCCTAATTTGAATATTAAGAATATGAGTTTTCTATCTGAACTAAGAGTATCACACAAGAGTTTGCGAAACATTTTGGCTAAATTCTTATGTACATTCTTATATAATGAAATAATTAGAATAATTAGCAGTAATGATGCTTCGGACCATGCTTAACATGAGAAGCCTCCTAATTAGATGACTTATGTGCTCATGTCACCACATTTTCGTCAAATGTTGTTTGCTTTTTCTATTAATTTTTTTCTTTTTCCTAATTATATAAAAATGCTTTTATACTCCACCCAACAGTTCTTCTTTTCTTTAGTCAATTCGATAGAAAAAAATAATTATCTGAATAATTAATGTATAATACTTGACTAACCAGCAATAATAACACCACACTTCTATTAAAAAAGAGATAGCAACATAACAATAATAATAATAATCTATCTAGTATAATCATATGACAAAATACGAAAACATAGTATGTTTGGATAGCTTACAGTATAATTATTATTCTATTTATAATTATTTTATGTAAAAATGTTTATTTAGGAGCAGCTTGAAAGCGAGCTTGGAAATGGGCAAGTAATTCATTTCTTGGAGGTAAATATTTCTTGTTTTCGTTACAATTGATGTATTCGTCTCTCCAAGCACATAAATTTAGAAATTTTTCACTTGTGACCAAAACAAGTCCAGAGGCTTCTTCAAAAACTCCAACCCAGATTCCCATAAAATTAGCAGCAAATTCAAATTTGTCACCAACAAAGTACTTCTTGTCCTTTTAACTCATTATCAAGAATTTTCAATATCTCATAAGCTTCCTCTTTAGCTCTCTCTTGTTCCTCTCCTTTCAAAAAGAAACTTTTCCCTACTGGTGGCATCTGGACAACAAGTTGAAAATTAGGTTGTATAATATAATAACAATAACTAGCGTCAGTCCTAAATAGGTTGTAATTAAATATATGAATTCTTGCTGATTGAGTGATTGTAATACTTATATTTAAGCTTGTCTTAGTCCAATATTATTATAAAAGATTCTATATATCTTATATAAACCTATGTCATGACAAAAATTAAAAGAACATATATTTACCTGTTTCATTTTGTTTGACGAGAAAAAAAAGTTATATATTCAAAAACTATATAAAAATAAGAGAAATTTTTTATCTTAATAGATACGGCCATTGATAAATTGAAACGAAGAACTATAAAAAAAAATTTACCTTATCATCAAGGAACTTAGCCCAAAAACGAGCAATAGCACAATCATAAGGATCTTTAGGTATGATGGAAGGGCCTTCAAATGTCTTATCAATGTATTCAACAATTACCATTGACTCACAAATTGGCTTCCCATTGTGAATTAGTACTGGAATATTTTTGTGAATTGGATTGGATTCGAGAAGTAGAGAACTCTTATTATATAGATCATCTTCTATGTATTCATATTCAACACCCTTGATCTTTAGAGCTCACTCAACTCTGTGACTAAAAGGGCTATACCATAGACCAAGCAACTTAACATCTGCCATCTCTCAACTTTGGTTAACTTTTTCTAATCTTTACAATAATATTCGAGGGAATTGTTGTGTGGTTTTTCTCCCTTGAGGTTTAGTCTTGTTTTATTGAGGTTTTTTTCTCTCTCGTGTTCGGTGTCTATACCATTGATTAAATTTGGATTATGCTATGCAGGACTCATTTAAGAGTGGTGCTTTCAATAGGATTTCCTTGAGTTCAAAGCCTAAAGAGTATAAAATATTAATAAAAATTTCAAAATAATATATAAAAAAAATTAAAAATCGCTGCCTAGAGAAAATTTTCTTTTTAATTTTTTTTAATGGAAATCGCTGCCTAGGCAGCGATTTTTCTAAAAAAAGTTTTTTTTTTCTTTTAATTTTTTTTAAAAAATGGAAATCGCTGTCTAGGCAGCGATTTTCAACAAAAAAAAACTTTAAAACAAAATTGAAAATCGCTGCCTAGGTAGCGATTTAAATTTTTTTAAAAAAAATCACGTAGTAGCAGCGATTTTGCTTTTTTCGGTGAAGTAAATCGTTGTTGTTCCAACAATTTTACCGTTTTGATTATTATAAAATTTTATATACCGTTTTGAAATTTTTGTTAATATTTTATAGCAATTAGGCTCCGGACTCTGATTTTCTGCATACCTATACCAAGACCTAAAATCTGAAACCTTTGATTAATGGTGAAACAGACTCACTATTATACCACAACCCATGTTGATAAGCAGTGGCGTACCCATCTTTACCAAAAGGGGTGTCAAGTGACATCCCTTCGTCGAAAAATACATTATATCTACATATTAAATTTTGGTTTAGTAGATACACATGTAAGCATTGAAACCTATTGATTCAAATTAAATATTTAATTTGATAATTAAAGTATTGTGAAAATTTCTTAAAAGTCATGAATTCTAATTATTCTATGCTCATAATTATATTTTTTACTATGACTATTGACACCCCTTGATAAAAATTAGGGGTCTGCTACCGTTAATTAGTGTGGAAGTTTCTAGCATACACCACACGCTATATTCTTGATTTTTCTTTGACAGCTTAGTTTTGTAATTTAGTAATGTTTCCATGTTGACTAAAGACTTTGAATATTATTATTGGTATTTCCTCTATGTAAAGATAAGTGTTACATCTTTGGGAAAAAAAAATATTATCTCAAAATAAATGTTATCTTAAGATTCAAAACATAAAAGGGATACTATGTTTTATTAAGTACTCATTTTGTTAGTAATATTCTTTTTTCTAAAAAATAAATCAACAAATCATTTTGTTAGTAGTGCTTTTTTAAAAAATAAAAAACTATTATTAGTAGAGTTAAAATTTCAAAAATTATTTAAATAAAATTATATAAATGTGATATTTACTGAAGGAAATATTAGATACTCTATGAGGTTGTAATTTTGATTAGGAAAAATTTTTTTGGTCAGAAAATATGATCAGAATAAAAGTTTACTTATATTATTTTTAAAAAAAATATTTTTATCGTTTTAATTTTAATATTTTTTAATTAAAAAAGTACTAAAAAATTAATTTATTTTAAAATTAAAAAAATATCATAAATTTTTTAATTTTCTGACCAAATTTTACCCTCTAGATTAAAATTTGGAGCTCAATTATTGATTTCTTGGATATCTTTTTCCGTGAAATGGTCTTTATCAAACCCGATGATTTTGATCATCATTTAGCTCAAGTATATATTTTTGCTTAGTTGGTTTTTTGTACAGGAGTTTGATTTTTTTTAACAAATATAAAGATGTTTTCATTTAAAAATCAAGATTATTAAAGATATACACATCAATATTTATCTCTTTTTTGAAAATAAACTTACTCGCACGAAATATTTATATTAAATTAATATTATTATTATTATTATTAAGTAATTTAATGAAATAAAATATATGTAAATTAAGTAAAATAAATTATAATTTAAATACAAAGCATTAAGCATACGTGTATTAAATTAATGTAAATAGCCAGGTAAATTTTAGCCTACTTTTTCTCTAGGTGACTCACGCACCCCTACTTCAAAATGTCTTTGCTTCTTCTCAACTTTTTTTTTAAATATTCTACTGAGAAAAAAAAGTTAATATATATATATATATCTTATTTTTTTTCGATGCCCCATGTGGGAACTTTTCAAATTCTAATTTTAGATAGTATATTTAAGTCTGTAAATTAGATATTCTGATATGTACATTTAATATATTTTTATTTAATTTAAAATTATATAAAAATGTTATATTATTAAATTTTATATCAAATGATAATAAGACAAAGTTAAATATGATTATATTTCAAATCCCTAGAAATATAGAAGGCCAATATAAAAATGCTTTCACATCAATTAGTCATTCTGAGTCACGAGTCAGTTCTTGTTCTTTCCAAATCGATGAGAAAATTAATGGAGTAATTAAATAATTGTTGTACAATTACTGTACCAACCACCAAATTGAATTAAAAGTTTAAATATTATGTTGAAAAAATTGTATCTATATGTTATAGATATATATAGTTAAGTTTTAATATTAGGTTGAAAAAATTGTATCTATATGTTATAGATATATATAGTTTTCTCTCATATTATAATAAATTCAAATATATAGACAAAAGAGAATAGCGAGCGAGATAACGAGCAAATTTTTCAAAGAGAGACGAATGAAAAATGTTTATTAAATACGTTAACTCAAAATTTATTTATATTAACCGAAACAAAGATAAATCATATAACGTGCGTATTCTTTTTGTTATCACTAGTTCAATTCAAAATTAATTTCAATTGAATCAACAAAAACTCATCCTAAATCCATTATCTCCATTTTATTGCCACACAAAATCATGAAATAAGCTTAAAGGTCATGTACTCATTTTGAAGTAGTAACACGTTGAATGTAAACTTGATAATGGGCAAGCAATTCATCTCTAGGAGGTAAATATTTCTTGTTTTGCGTACAATATTCGTCTCTCCAATCACAAAAATTTGGATATTTTTCTCTTGTCACCAAAACAACTCCAGATGCTTCTTCAAGAACTCCTAGCCAAAGGGCTGCAGCATTTGCAACAATATCAACAAATCCAAATTTTTCACCAACAAAAATCTTCTTGTTTTTCAGCTCATTATCAAGAACTTTCAACATATCATAAACTTCCTCTTTAGCTTTCTCTTGCTCCTCTCCTTTGAAAAATATACTTTTCCTTATTGCTAGCCCCTACACAATACATAAACATACATTAAAATTCGATCTTAATCTGTAAGTAAGCAAGCACTTTAACTTTGAAAAATGCATATTTAGACAATTCAAGTGACCAATGTTCAATATAATTGACACAAAGTTGAAATAAGATGTCTAGATGTGTGTACTAAGTTTATTTGTTTATTACAAGTCGAGTCTATCTATGTATTATATGTGTTAAATTCTCAGTGTATTTTACTTATACATATGGCAAACGCTTCTCCAAAGGCAACCCTCTCAAGTTTCCGACTGTTTCCGTCATTGAAGTAGCCTTTCGTCGCCCTACCAAACGAAAGAAGTCACTATCAAACTGCTCGTCCTATTTAAGTACCAAAGGTGCACTCAGCCCAGTGACTAGGAAATGGGTTTGCCCTTGAATTGAAGTGATGAGGTCGGAAAGAGGAAAGTAGGGCTCCTATTGACTAAAGGTTGGTTCTTCGCTTTCCTTTAGAATGAAAGTTGCTATGAAGCCCCTCTCCTCCTTACAGTCAAGTGGCATAAGTTTATGAAAAATCATATATAAGACCTAATAAAGTAAATATATTATGAAAGCAATATACCTTATCATCGAAGAATTTAGCCCAGAAACGAGCTAAAGATCGATCGTAAGGTTCTTTAGGCAAGATGGAAGGGCCTTCAAATGTCTCGTCGATGTATTCGAGAATGACACTTGATTCACAAAGGGGCTTGCCATTGTGAATGAGCACAGGAACTGCCTTGTGAATTGGATTAGATTGAAGAAGTAAAAGGCTTTTATTATGTAGATCATCTTCTATATATTCATATTCCACACCCTTAATCTTTAGAGCCCATTCAACTCTTCTACTAAAAGGACTATACCATAAACCAATCAACTTAACATCAGCCATCTTTCAACTTAAGCTGTGTTTTTGCTTTACTAATTGAGGGAATTTGTATGTGGTTGTGACCTCTTCTAGGGTCTTCTTTTATATATGAAAAAAAGAAGGTGCATTGATGTTTCCAAAAGTAATTTGTTTTGACTCTTACATATATATTTTATTTAACAAATGGCACATATACAAGTCACCATTTTATACTATATTCGTCATCTGTGTTGTTCGTATCACATCATTTTAGATTTTACATCTTTAAAAAAAATTTAAAAAAAATTAAATAAGTTTATTATGTATTTTTATTTAGTGTTCTCTTATAGTCAATTTTTTAATAAATAAATATAAATAGATTTATTTTAATTAATTGTCAATGAACATAAATTAATTATTAAATTTTCCTATAATGTTGATCAGATGTATAATTTTAAGATAATAACTTTCAAGATTAAAAAAAATAAATATATTATTATTTATGCATTAATTATATGAAATGATAAATATTAAAAAGGATCATCTATTCTAATAAGAACAACATATAGGTAGGAAGGAAGGGAGCAATAAATAACATATAGGTAGGAAGGAAGGGAGCAATAAATAATGGATAGTTATCATTTTCATCAACTAACTTAATTAATAAAAATAATTTACAAACAATACGTATCATTTTCATCAACTAACTTAATTAATAAAAATAATTTACAAACAATACGTAACTTATATATATATATTATGTATCAATTATGTGAAGTTATTCGTCTTAATGATATCAATACAGTACATAATACGAGTTAGTATCAATTAAGCGAAATTAATTAACGTGTATATAGTGTAATTTTTTAATAAAGGTACAAACATAAAAAAATTAATATTTTTATAATTATTTTACATTTATAAAATATTTGCTTAATTTCTCCATTTTAAATTATTTTGACTCATGACCGGCCTCGGCCGACCCTCACTCAAGCCACAAGGGTGGCAAATTAACTAAGGCCAGGCTTATAAGTCCCAATCATAGACCGGTTTAAAATCTTGATCCAATTTTACTCAATTAATGATGTTGGTAGAGATGGGTTCAAAGGATCAATTTTTTTTTTCCTGCTTTAACTATAAAATTAAGTTATTATCTTTTTAAAATTTGTATCAAATTAGAATAAAATTTAAATAATTTAAATTTTTAAATCAGATAAAATAGCGTATTAAGCTCGCTGTCTCTTAACAATATTTTTTACTCATTTGTGTATCCAAAAATTATATTAACTAGTGAAATAAAGATAAATCTTATTACATTCAACTTTAATATATTTCAATTGAATTTAGAAAAATCCAATTTTTATTGCCACACAAAATCTTGAAATTCATTTGAGGTGTACTCATTTTGAAGCATCAACAGGCTGAATGTAGGCTCGATAACGGATAAGCAATTCATCTCTTGAAGGAAAATATTCCTTGTTTTGGATGCAATATTCATCTCTCCAAGCACAAAAATTTGGAAATTTTTCACTTGTCGCTAAAACGACTCCAGATACTTCTTCAAGAATTCCCAAATAAAGTGCTGCACCATTTGCAACAATATCAGCAAATCCAAATTTGTCACCAACAAAGTACTTCTTGTCCTTGAACTCATTATCAAGAATTTTCAACATCTCATAAGCTTCCTCTTTAGCTTTCTCTTGTTCCTCTCCTTTGAAGAAGAAACTTTTCCACACTGCTGACCCCTGCCCAACAAACAAACTTAGTAAGGGTCGTCGACTCGTTGTTGATAGCTAATTAGAGTTATGCAGGTATTAATAATATATTAATTAGTTATGATAAAATCTATGTACATAAAATAGTTATGCAATAAGGATAATGCATAAGTACCTTCTCAACCTATGCCCGAAATTTCAGAGACACACTAATACTATACTAAGGTTCTATTACTCCTGAACTTATTTTATAAATAATTTTCTACCCCTTTTCGGCCTATGTAACACTAGTTTGAAGAAAAATGTCAACACACGCTGTGCCCACAAGATAGTGTCATATAGATCGAAAAGGAGTAGAAAATTATTTATAAAATTAAGTTCAGGAGGTAATAGGACCTTAGTATAGTATAAGTGTGTCTCTAAAATTTCTTGTGGGTACTTATGCATAAGTTAAGGGGATACTTGTGCATTTCCCTATACAATATACATAAATTTCTTCATAACTTATACATGTATTAGTTATGTATTTCTAAATTACACAAAAATCAAATATATATATATTTTTTTTACATAAATAACTTACCTCAAAATCAACTATCAAATATGGTATTCATTATTTAGGTATAATAATGTAACTAAAACAAAATTTTCAATCAATTGGAATAAGTTAAAAGCAATATACCTTATCATCGACATATTTAGCCCAAAAACGCGCTAAAGCTCGATCATAAGGGTCTTTAGGCAAAATGGAAGGGCCTTCAAATGCCTCATCAATGTATTCAAGAATGACCATAGACTCACAAATGGGCTTGCCATTGTGAATTAGCACTGGAATTTTCTTGTGAATTGGATTTGATTCTAGAAGTAAAGAACTCTTATTTTGTAAATCTTCTTCTATAAATTCATATTTCACTCCCTTAATCTTTAGAGCCCATTCAACTCTATGATTAAAAGGGCTATAACTTAGACCAAGCAACTTCACTTCTGCCATCTCTCAACTTTGGTTCTCAATTTTTTTTTTGGCTCCCTTGGTGTATAGTCTTTTTTATTATTTATAGAGGAAAAAAATAGGGATATATTAATGTTTTTCTTGTTTGACTATTCAATTTTTTAATATTAAAAATTATATTTGACTAACTAGACGCTTGTTTGAACATCTTCCCTATTTTTTTTTTAGGAATAATACAATAATAACGATGACTTGTGCGCTCATGTCACCAACATTTTGGTCAAATCTAGTGGATAGAAAAATCACTCTTTAAAAATATACTTATATTTTTAATTTATTCAATTTATTTTTATTTATAATTTATTTTACGAACGATATTCCTTTTCATTTGTTTGATGGCCTTTTTTTTAATTTTTCATGTAGCGTGCTTTGCCATATAAAATTAATGAATTTTTAATATATTTGATGTATTTTAATTTTAAAACTAAACAAAATTAAAAAATATTATTTGAAAATATTAACAATTAAAATACCGTTGATTTTATCTTTCATTTTCAATTTGATGAGGAAATTGATATATATTAAATAATAAAATATACAATCACTGGCCCACCAAAGGCGAAACTTCCTAGTTCCTTAGCATGTGAACAGCTAAGATACTTTTCTCTCGGACGAAGAATTTTATTCCAACGAAAATTCAAATTTTAAATCAAATAAATAATGGGATAATTTTATTCGAATATATATGAACTTTTTCGTAAATTTTATATTTATTACAAAATTATAAAAATATTATCAATATTATCTTATGAACTCCTAACAAAACTGATTGATAAGTTAGTATAAGGAATGGGTCATGGAAATTGAATATTTTCCGTGCTAGAGTTGTGAGTTCGAATTCTTTAAATTATTGAAATGTCTAATAATACGTAACACTTAAAAGAGTTGTCTCTTTTTCAAGACATTTAATTAAAGAAAATTTAGTAGAAAATACTATTTATTTTCTATAAAGGAATATTTTTTAAAAAAAAATATTTATTTCTTTTTTAGCAATTCTTTAGTTTCAATTTTTCACATGACATGTTTAAAATCATAAGATCTAAGAAAAATATGAAACATTGAAAATTGACATTCCGTAGGTGATCAATTTATTAAGATGACAATTATTTATCCTAAAATTATTCATGTGAGAAAATAGTAAACATGACAATAAAATTGTTCTTCTCCTAGCTAGTTACAAGGTCATAAAAAAATTGTCCGGCAATTATCTACCTTGACCCAGTTACATGAATAGAAAATTCATAATAATTCAAAGATATAATTAGAAATTAAAGGAGCTTTTTATAGAATTTTTAATCTAAACACAAAACGAATTGAGCAATCATAAACTAAACACTCGACAAAAAATAAATTCTACAACAATAGCTATCACTCAAGCATTGATATGGCCCATTTGAGGCACTATATGGGAGAAGATGTAGGTCTCCCATTGGGTGGTTTGATGCATTTGAAGTTAGACCTTGGGGTACTGATCTTCTGAGGGAATCGTTATATAAAGTGAAATCTATTCAAGAAAAGCTTCTAGCGGCGCAAAGTAGGCAAAAGGAATATGCGGATCGCAAGGTTAGAGACTTGGAGTTTATGGAGGGTGAACAGGTCTTGCTGAAGGTCTCACCCATGAAAGGGGTGATGCGTTTTGGTAAAAGGGGAAAATTAAGCCCAAGATATATTGGTCCCTTTGAAATACTTAAGCGAGTAGGGGAGGTGGCTTATGAGTTAGCCTTGCCTCCAGGGTTGTCAGGAGTGCATCCGGTATTCCATGTGTCTATGTTGAAAAGATACCACGGGGATGGAAACTACATCATCCGTTGGGATTCCATTTTGCTTGATGAGAATTTGTCTTATGAGGAGGAACCTGTTGCCATTTTAGACAGAGAAGTTCACAAGCTAAGGTCAAGGGAGATTGCATCCATCAAAGTTCAATGGAAGAATCGACCCGTCGAAGAAGCCACTTGGGAGAAAGAGGCTGATATGCGAGAAAGATACCCAAACCTGTTTACAGATTCAGGTACTCCTTCTCGCCCTTGTTTTCCTTCTTGTGATCGTTCGGGGACGAACGATGGGTAAATTGGTATCTATTGTAACGATCTGTTTAGTCGTTTTGAGCAGCAGATTTTATTTCTGGAAAAACAGGCTGAGATGACGGAATCCACGACGGACCGTCATGGGCACGACGGACCGTCGAGGGTGTCTCGTTTCAAAACACTTAGAAATTTTAAAAAAATGGGTACTGAAAATCGACTCTCTGAACT